GAGCTACCTGTGGAGAAAAATCTGGTCCCATTCACTTCTACAGTGAATCTCCTGAAATGCTTTCTTTGCTTTTAGTTTTGCCAAGCATGGAAGACTTAGCAAATGACAGACTGCATCTTGACAGTGAGCCAATTGGGCAGGGCCCCTTGATAGTTCTGTGCTCTGTAAACTAACTAGCACATTGCTGATGCTCAATAAATGTCGCATATTGTCAACTATCAATTATTCAGTGTGTAATGAGGATAATGCCTTGGCAAAAGCTGCCTCAAAGCTTAATCAAGAAGCTGTGCGATTCCAGTGCCACATCAGAAAACAGATTGGCATTTTTACTTAAACTGCTAAACAGTATACATTTGTATTAATGACACATCTTTAAATTAGTACAATTTGTTTATAGTGACAATCAATAGAAATCACTAAAATGATTCAACATCAATAACACCAAGAATGTTTAATGTGCACAGGTAGACTATTCACAAACGCCACTGAGACAGTCCCAAACGATGCCTGATTGATGTATTGACCTTTACCTGTGCTTTCCTGTCCTGGAATCTTTATGAGAAACTCCAATTCACCTCAATGGGAAACTTCCTTGAAATTATTTTCTCCTACACTAGAAACCATTTTATTATCTCTTCGTGACCCCATTTCTTGAAACAATGCACATGAAATGTGTTCAGAATAAATGGATTTTGAAAAGTATCTGAAACATAGGAAATGCCCAATAAGTAGCTGCTGAATGAATGAATAGCAACTGCAGAATAAGACCACGAATTCCTCGTTGCATTTTTATGCTCCTCTGTGTTGTATGTACAAATTAGCAAACCAGATGAGAGTGAGGGAGAATAAGGGGACCTTGGATAATATGGGTGACTTACTTCTTAAGATGACAATCAGTCCCCATATAATAGGAAACCCCCTCTTCCTGAAATCAGGTTGGACCAGTTCCATCTTTCAAAGACCCTGAGCTACCTACATCTGCTAAAAAGGAAGTCTATTATAAAATTCTTAAACTACATTTCCAAATTACATTAAACCTATGACATCTCAAGCTATAGCAAATTGCTAAACCTAAAGCAATCATGCTAAAAATGAATACAAGTTTGGCCAGTTTGTTTGAATTCATTTTGCTCCTACAGTTAATGCTTGGTGGATGTATGCTTCTGTATATGCTGGTGATAGCAGCAATGAAGTCTCCATTAACCGTGGTAAGAGGGAAAATAGTGGCCTTGAGTGGAAGGGAAAGAGAGACTATGCCTGATATTTGTCCAAATAAGTTTTTGTTCTTTGTTTTACTTACAAATTGACCTAAAAAGAAACAACAGCAAAAAAGAACCCAAAATCTCTGTCTCCCACTTTCCAAGACAAAACCATATTCTACAAGGTAAATTTCTGCATTATGCCAATTGGGTTAGAATCTGACATCTTGCACCTCTCTAAAGAGCTACTGTCTGCATGTAGCTTGAAACTTTATAGAAACCCTTATTTCTTCTTAGCAAGTGGTTGCTGTGTCATTCTCTGCCTAAAAAATCAGCTGGTAAGTCCAGGTGGAATGGGATATTCCTTTAGTTGTAGGATACGCAGAATAAAAATCAGAGCAAACCTGTACTTGCAGTCAAATTGGTTTTAAAATGACCACTTTACCAGTGCTAGAGTAAAATGTTCTCATGGAGTAGCTTTTTGAGAATGTCACATAATTACATAAGAATAAGTGCTATCACCAGCTCATTTCCAAGAGATTGAATGCAGTTGAAAGTTCAGTGCAACGTTTAACAAGGACTAATAGTTCTCCTCCCACAAGGCACTGGCTGACCCTCCACCTCTTACAGATGCTGACGCCATTATGTCATGCCAATCTGTACCATGCCCTCCATCACTTGTTATCAGACTTTTATAAATGAGTGCTTCATTCTCCAAAGCTTTGCAGCTTGTTGATTCTGCTTGTATTAGTGGCATGACTTTAAGCAGAAAAAAAATAATTGTCTTATTCCTTGTGATAAACTTTTCTTTCCTTTATGTTTCTTCTCTAAAAAAAAAATATTTTAACATTATTGGATGTGATTTCACGTATTTTTCTTCTAACATTTATATTTCATTGATATGGAAGAGACTATGAGAGCTTATCAAGGTGTATCATAGCATATTAATGATTTTTAAGTACAAACCATCAAAGTTGTAAACAGTTCCCATTGATGAGCTTCCTTAATTTGTCCACTTGATCTTTCTGCTTTTCAAAGATAGATGTTCCAATTTTATTTCAAAGAGCATTTCTATTTCTTTATAATCAAGGTTACCAATTTTCATGGATTCCAAACTTTTTCTTTCACATATAATAAAAAGAGGCAATCTCTGGGGAAAATTGTTTAATGTCCAAACCTCAACATAAAAACAAACCTGATACCTTATACTCATTTTCTATAGCCAGCTGGATAAGGCTATGAAATGACAGACCAGTGCAGGAAAATATTGACTCATTTTAATGCAGTTTATTTTAATTTGAACCAGTTGATTCAGTCATGTTCTATAATGCTTATATATGACAGCCATTGTACTAGGCACTGAAGACAAACAAACAGGAGTAAGATGCAATACCAGCCCTCAGGAAGCTTACAATATACTCAATAATATTGAAATTTACATATGTCACTATGATGCCGAGAAATGTGGCCTAATTACTACAGGATACAGATATGAGAAAGAGCAATCCAGTCTGACCGGGGATCAGGAAAGGCTTCATTCATCAGAAAGGACATTTTCTGGCCTAAAAAGGATCATATATTATTTCTATACCTCCCCTGAAAATCCGAGTTGCTCAGGCCACATTCAACTGTGGGCCTCTTTTGAGGTCACATTCACCTAATTGATCTAATTACATGGCTTATGCCCCTATGCATAAGTAGCCCTTCTACTTCTGTTGCAAAGTTTCACCCTATAATTTCTGAACACTCCTTAGATGAGTTAGGAAATCTCTGACCTAAGTGTACTCATCTATAAAACAATGCTAATATCTTCTGTATAGAATGGCTGGGAGGAGTAAATGAGTTTAAATGATAATGTGTTTAAAATTCATAGAATAGCTATTATCATTTTCTGTTTACATTATATATCCCATCCATTTTGCAAAAGAAGTAAGATAAAAGATATGGAAGCAACCCTGCCCCATTGGTCCTCCAGAAAATGTTCATTTGAAGTCCACAAGTTGAAGAATGATGGAAGTAGAGGAAAGAAAAAAAAATTATCTTTTGGTTTTATGACCTTAAAGGTTTTTATTTATTTATTTTTTAATTTCCCCATGATTTTTCTGTGATTCTTCTAGTACATCACATAACTAAAATGTTCACATTTCTACAAAGTAAAACACAAAGAGGGCTTACAGAATTGTGGCAATGGCAGTTATGCCTCCAGAATTTTGTACAAATGAACACACGGGATAGGATTTCTGGATTTTGCTGGGCTTGTTTTCAGTGTCTTTCTTCCCAAGCCTTTCATCCATCAGTAAATGCAGGCAGAAATCCCAGCTGGTTAGATATAGGTTTCCACACACCCTTTCTAATTAAAAGGTAGGCATCAAAAAAGTTATTCACTAAAACTTTATTATATCTTTATAGCTACTCGTTACAGATTGCATAATCTTAATAAGATGGATAATGGATGTACAATTTGCCTATGATCACATATTAAGAGTAAACTTTATTAGATGATAAACTTATTTGGTTAACTGCTCATCATGCCACTGAGACAGCTATTATTTGAAAAATGGAAGTAGTGTTCTAGTTTTATTTATTATGTGCATTTGTTGGAAAAAAACAAATTTGACAATGCAGTTAAATGTTCCTTGTTTTTAAGTAAACTTTTTATTTTGAGATATGTAGATTTGCACACATTTGTAAAAACTAATACAGAGCTAGGCACAGTGGTGCATGCCTGCAATCCTAGCAGCTGGGGAGGCTGAGGCAGGAGAACTACAAGTTCAAAGCCAGCCAGTAAGGCACTAAGCAACTCAATGAGACCCCGTCTCTAAATAAAATACAAAATAGGCCTGGGATGTAGCTCAATGATTAAATGACCCTGGGTTCAATTGCCAGTTTAAAACAAAACAAAACAAAAACCTCTAATACATAGAGATTATATGTGTCTTTTATGAACCTTCCACATTGACTGCATTTTGCAAAACTAGAGCACTATATCACAACCAGGATATCATTTATATCAACATTGATATAATTTATTGGTCTTACTCAGTTCACTTCAGCTCCACATGTACTCATTTGTGTATGTACATGTGTGTGTGTATGATGTGTGCATTTAGTTCTATGTAATTTCACCACATGTTTATATTCATATATGCACCACCACAGTCCACATGCAGAACAGTTCCCTCACCACAAGGATCTCTCATAATTCCCTTTTATTAACTATACCCATCTACCTTTTCCCCTCATCCCTATTCCCTGGCAACTGCTAATCCAGTCTTCATTTCCATAGTTGTGTTGTTTTCAAGAAGATTAATACAAATGGAACCACAGGTGTATACAACTATTTAGGTTTGCCTTTTTCACTCATGTAATTCCCTTGTGATTTTTTTTCCAAGTTGTCCTATTCATAAATAATAGTTATTATTTTTATTGTTGATAGTAATTTATAATATAGATATACCACAAATTTATCATTTAGTGTTGAATGACATCTTCAGTTTTTGATTGTTACTAATAAAGTTGTTGTGCATATAAGTTTTCATTTCCCTGAAATAAAGCCCAGTGGGTCAATTGTTGGGCTGGAAAGTGATTACATATTTCAGTTTTTAAGAAATTGCTGAACTATTGTCCAAAGTGTCTGTACTATTTTAAATATCCACCAGCAATGTATGAGTGATCTGGTTTTTCCATCTTTAAAAAAAAAATATGTGGGTGGTAACATTAGTAAATAAGTAAATGACACGTATAAGAGTAGTCTATAAAAAGTCAGTTCAAAAAGTCCAAAGAGTAAAAAAGGTGGAGGTATATAAAACAGCCAGCTCAAGAAAAGGTCTTTCTCTGACTTGTTTCAGTTTTCAGGGCCTCCAGGTACAGAGCAAATGCTTTATGCTTTTAGATAGTACCCAATATGCCTCAAACTTTCATCTGGGTTAATTTAAAATAAAAAATCTTTTCTTTCCAAAACAGGATCATGGCCTATAAAATGCTCCAAGTAGTCCTGTGTTCCACATTGCTTATAGGTAAGAAGTCCATTTCCTTTTCATTTATTGTATCTTTTACAACTATCGGGTTGATACTCGTCTTAACTTTTAAAAGAAATAAACCTGTTTTATGCGTGGACACATTCTAAAGCATTGAGGGGATCAAACGATTGTGTTATGCTGTGGCTTTGAAGAGGTTAATGTCAATCGTGAAAATGAGATCATTTAATTCCTAATTATGTATTAACATATTAACACGTTACTCTTGCTAAGAAGTCAATTTAATTGCTGCCTCCAAAGAAGTGCTCTGGTGTCCCTGAACAAAGAAAAATTTAAAATATCTTTTAGAAACAGTGATACAGAATACCATTATAAGGAGACCTCAAAGTACTTTGGGAGCATGAATTCATTAACCTTCTCTGAGCTACAGCACAGAGAAGTGGCGTTTTAGAGGCAGATCAAGGAAGGCACCAGAGACCAGCTGATTTGCTGCCAAATTGACCTGGTAATTCTGTGGTTGGTATTAGAGTTGAACTGAGCGGTCATTTGTTTTCTTTGTAACAGACTGAAAATACTTACAAAGGCATAAATTAACTTTCAGTTAAACCTATACAATTTATAAATATTTCTGATAAAGATGCTTAAATCAGAATAAATTTCTGCTTCTATGATAAACTTGAGACCTATGCAAAAAATTAGATCTTGCTTGATGCACTCCTCAGACAGATAGCAACAGCCGTGTGTGTGTGTGTGTGTGTGTGTATGTGTGTGTGTGATTAGTCTTAATTCCTAAGCACAGAAATAATTTTATTAAAGAATTGTAATCATCAACATTGCACTTTGCATTTGAGTCAGGTTTAAATATTGCACATGATTTAGAAAATTTTAATTAAGTTATAACTAAGCAGTTAAACCAAGGCATATGCAATGATAGATCCAGCCCACATTTCTAGATGAGAAAAGTGAGGCTGGCTCATTTTTAGCAAGTGTTTGAGAGCACACTGGAAGTTAGTCATGGGCTGGTTGTAACTATTGGTGTGATGCTTTACCTTGACCACCCCACCCATGCAGCAGCAGAGGGATCAATGGCAGAAGTCTGCAAGCTGACACATTACTTCTCTGCCACATTCCCCTATCAATGTTGCAGGGTCAGAAGTATCTGACAAAAGAAAACATTTCTGCCAAATCCCTTAGGAAACCTAAAATACTTTATTTTTTTAATTTGTTGTTTTATCTAAAAGTAGAGTATATTTTGACATATTATACATACATGGAGTATAACTTACTCTAATTAGAATCCCATTCTTGTGGGTGAACATGATGTGGAATTTCACTGGTCGTGTATTCATACATGAACATAGGAAAGTTATATGCAACTCATTCTACCATCTTTCCTATTCCTTCCCTTCCTTCCCTTCACTTCCCTTTGTGTAACCCAATGAACTTTTATTCCCCCTCATCCTTATTGTGTGTTAGCATCCACATATCAGAGAGAGCATTTGGCCATTTGTGTGGGGGGATTGGCTTGTTTTACTTAGCGTGACACTCTGCAGTTCCACCCATTTAACAGCAAATGCCTAATTTCTAATAATACCCTTTTCAGAAACAAGCATACATAAACTTCCAGACAACTAGTTTGACTGACTTCAAATTTAAAAAAATATATATTTAAGTTGTGTAGTTGGAGTTCGTAAAAATATAAGTTGGGAATAGAAAGAAAGCATAGAGAAATATTTACTTTGCTGGGTTAGCCCTTCAGAGCTTAGGACAGATGCCTGTGCCACTTACAGGCTGAGGAGACTGAAGTCTGTATAAGCAGACTCATTTCAAACACCCCCAACTAGTTCGTCTGACATTTTCTAAATCAAATAGCTCTAGAGTAGAGACTAATTGCTTGAATCGACTTTCTTTGCCGGGCTCCCTTTTTCTTTCAAGAACGGACCCTGCTCTCTGAACTTCCCTAGAGCCCTTCTGCTCATCACAAGAAAATAACCAGAAAAGGAATTTGTTTACTTTTAATATTTAAAAATGGGTTTTCTCAAGGCAGGTGTGGTGGCACATGCTTATAATCCCAGCAACTTTGGAGGAAAAGGCAGGAAGATCACATGTTCCAGACCAGCATTGGTAATTTATTGAGACTCCCCATCTTAAAAAAAAAATAATTTTAGAAAGGGGCTAAGGAGATAGCTTAGTGGTAAGCATCCTGTGTTCAATTCTCAGCACCACCATGAATAAGTAAATAAATAAATAAAGTTCTCTCCAGGTCACATTAGCTGCCTAATGAATTCCTTTTCTCTAGAACTTGATTTAAGGTCATCGGGGAGAAGGTCTCATTATGCACTTTCCTGAAGGAATGCTGAAACTGAAAACGATGACAGGCCTTACAAAAGTGATTAAATTTATAAACAAGGCTCCCAAATGATCTTATTGATTTTTTTCAAAAATAATAACTTAGATACATTGGAACTGATTCCCTGGTCACAGAAGAAGTTCGAGTGCCATAATTTAATAGAAAATATAAATTAATACGCCACCATTGAACATTTAGGTTAACAACTGCCTTGTATAGTAAAATTGGAAAATGTTAATTGTACTACTCTAAGTTCCTTTTATGTATCTGAGGCTTTACATGTTAGTTCAGTTCTCAGGATCATTCTGAAAACAAGTGAGATGCATCCCATTTACCAAGAAAAAACTGAGGGCTTAGAAAAGTGACATGACCAAGCTCCATAAGTAACTAGTGGTGGATGCTGTGTACATATCTAAATTTTCACAACTAAGACTTATGAGAGGAAACCTCCTTTCTACCACACAATCTGTTCCTCCTGGCACCGCAATGCCAGACATGCAAAAGATATCAGAGCTCAGGCAAGATGTCCTCCTGAAAAAGCAGTAGAGCCAGTATAAGCCTTGGTTCCACCAAGAAAGAGCAAGAGTTAGGGAGCTGTGTGACATTATCTGACAAAATGTAGCAGCACCAGCACCTAACCAACAACTTTCAATGACAGCTGCGAGGTGTACTAAACTCAGCACTTTGCATCTGTAGGTCATTTATTAAATTCAAGCATAAAGAGGAAATACAGAAAATATATTTGAAAAATATTTCACTAAGTAAACCAATCTTTGAACATTATTAAGAATTAAATTAATGTTTTTGGTTATTTCTAATTTGCTTTTATTTTATTTTATTTTTTTAAGATCACTTTCATTTCTACTCTGCTAAAATAAAAAATAGATTTCTTTCCCTCAGCAACCATGTTCTCCTGACTTGATTTGGCAGTTGGAGTTGACCCCATATGAAGCAGTTTGGGGGTCCATGGCCACACTATTGACCTGCAATTGCATCTACTCATAAAGTGTGGGTTCATCTTCTGGTTGTAGACAGAAAAAATAAATAAACATACTGTCTTTGGTCTGTTTTTCCCTCAGAGTTCTAGCTCTTGTTTTGCACTACTTAGTTGGTAACTAATGCCAATTTATCTTATAGGATTTTTTATTCAGTTTTGCTTTTTTGACAAGGGCTCTTAAGCTCACATTTTCTTCCCCATGACACTTTCAACACCTCAGTCCCTGCACTTGCCTTCTTCTCAGCCAGAAGAGTAACTCCTTTTAGCCATCCCTTCAGCCCTCCAATTCCTTGGAGAGTCTGTATTCCCTGATATAATTTTAGTTCATTTTATGAGATTTTGTTCTTAATTTTATCTACTCAGTTGGAATTAAGATCAATGTTAGTGAGAATAAACTGGGAAATAATTGGATCAGAGAAAAATGTCATTGTTCATGACTAGATTCATCGAGTGCTCCAGATGTTGTAGAAATACTGTCTATTTTCCTACCCACGTGGTGTCATTTGTCACGGCGGTGGAGAGGAGGATCCCATCTACACGCACAGGCACGGGCCCAGAAGTTGTCACTGTTCCATCATACATAATGCTGCCTTCCGTGTGTCATGAAGTTCCCAGAGTACAGGATTAAAAACTAACAAAAATCCTGCTAGGTCCCAAAGCCTATTCAGGGAAGCTGCATGGCGGTGTATGAGTGCCGATGTCATTGCATGGGCATTGAGAAGAACTTAAAACAGATTTAAGTTACCCTCAAGTGATTCTCATTTATGTTACATTTCAAAATTCTCAACACAGCAGTAATTCTAAGGTCAACGAAGCAAAAATGTCTGGGTTGGAAGTTAAGTCACCAAAGTACCCTATTAACAGACACTTGAATAGACTGGGACAGAGAAGCTGGTCCTGCAACTGGGCTCCCTTCTGTTTCTTGGGTCACCTTCAGTCTATTCTCTTTGTCCTTTTTACTTCCTCTTTCTGCCCTGTTCTTTTTCAAGTAGTTTTTAACCCTTTGTAATCTGTCATTTTTTTCTCCCTTCTATTTTTTATCCTTTCTTTGACTTTTTGATTTTTCTCTTCCATTTCTTATTTTCCTTGTCTTCCTTTTCTCCTTCACATTTCTCTCTTATAACCCAAACTGTTTCTCTCCCATTCTTTCTCTGTCTCACCAATTTTTATCTGCATTAAAATAACAAGAGAGAACCTATTGTACTAAACACAATTATCCTTTCTTCCAACACAAACTTCTGATTCAGTGACCAATTTTATGAATGAGAAATAAAAATAGCTGTTTCATTATTTTTAAAAAATTGGTTAACACAGAGAATATTTATATCTAAGAAAATATTAAACTAAACATGACTCTTTTAATCTCTTACACTATCATAAAATGTCTCCTACAGTTACAGAACATTTTGAAAATTTTACATTCCAAGACATTTGTATTTCCTTTTCTCCTCATCCTCTTTTATGCTTAATTGCTAGGGACCATATATATTTTATTTTAGTTCTTAATTTAGGCATGTACATGATTTCCTAGGCATGTATTTCAACTTTTTCTTTAAAGACATACTAAAAGCAGGTGCTGAGTCTGTTCATTTGAAATAACAAAAAGAATCATTCCTTAAACACTTTTACTGAAGGCTCAGTGTTTTACTTCTGATATCCTGTACCTTAGTTATTTTTTAATTTGAGGAGAAC